TTATTTATTTCTAGGAGAGAGACAGCATGAGTAGGGGAGGGTCAGAGAGAGAGGGAGTCACAGACTCCGAAACAGGCTCCAGGCTCTGAGCTGGCAGTCAGCACAGAGCCCGACGCGGGGCTCGAACCCACGAACCGTGAGATCATGACCTAAGCAAAAGTCGGAAGCTTAACCAACTAAGCCACCCAGGCGCCCCCCTAACCTAATTCTTAATTCATGATCATTCCTGCAGCCATGCCTTTGCCTAGACTTATACTCCCTATTTTTTTTTCTCTAGTTAACAAATCAGAGCCATTTTTTAAGCCTCAGCTAAAGTGTTAGCTTATCCACGCAGCTCTCCCTGACCTCCACACTCCACTGATTACAGAGTCTGGTGAATTCCAACACCCATGGCACCTCTTTTAGAGCAGAATTACATGTCACCTCCCATTTTATGACTATTTCCGTTCTTCCCACCTACCCTTTTATGTTCTGAAGATAATGTCATCACCCTAGTGTGGCTCCCACAGTACTTACTCTTGGGTTCGGCACAAAACGGGTACTGTTTGTAGAAAGCCAAGGGACAAAGATGAGTTCTGAACATAACTGAGGAATCAAAATAATAATAACTAACACTCATATTTTTGTTAGGCCCTGATACAAGTGTTTTATATTACCTCATCTAAATCTCACAATAATCCCATGAAAGGATAACTATCATAATCTCCATTTCACAGATAAGGAAACTGAGTCACAAAGCTAATCAGTGAGAGACCTCGGTCCAAACTCAGGCAGTCTAGTTCCAGAGTTTCTACTTTTAACCACTTTGTTGTATCACCACCAAGGAGATGGAGAGAGGGACATGCTGCTATTTTAGAGGATGGAGCAAAAATCAGAGAGTAAAGGTTCAGGAATGAAATAATGGGGTTAAAAAGCTGGATGAAGAAGAATAAGGACAATTACAAGTAAAAGATTGGAGAACGGGGACTAGTAGTAAAAAGGAAAACGAAGATAAGGGATAGTTGACAAAGAAACAGTAAAAACAGAAAGGCAGTCAACATGGCTGGGGAGATGAAGAAGGCCCAAGAAGACCTCAAGGAAGAGGCTGCCATGTCAAGCAGGAGGCAGAAAACAAATGAGTAAAGGCAATTCTTACAAGATGGAGAAGGTGCCGTTATAGGCGTCCGGCTCTGGCACAGGCACGCTGCGGAGCCTCTGCTGTAGGCTGAGAACAATACACGACAGCGTCTCATCTTTGCAGGTAAAGCGCTCAAATATTTTGAGGTCTATGGTGGCATTCTGTTCTGGTTGCTCAGTTAAAGCTGTGTAGGCCTTTTTTGAGGTATATTTTACAAAATGCACCACTGAATGCTGAGTTGTTGGAGGAAACTCTGTCTCAAATGACTCTGATTGCCGACTTACAGTATTTTCCAAGTCCATAGGTGGAACTGTGACTTCAGTCAGGTTTGGATGTTGACTCTGAACCTGTTCTGGATGTCCAAGTGTCACTTCAAGGTCCTTTGGAGGAGGAGTTGTAGTCTTCATGGTTGTAGAATGTTCAGCCTCTGTAGGTTCTGGAGTTATGGTAAGCCCCAAGCCCATAGGACGAAATGAGATGGTGGGTGATGCTGGATGCTGACCTTGATCCTTACTTGGAGTTGGAACGGTCACTTCCTGCTGGAATGGATACTGAACTACAACCTCCTTATGTGGCTCTGGAGGCTGAGTTGGGGTCTCTTGCATGGTTGGAGAAGGTTCAGTCTCTGTCGTGGATTCTGGAGTTATGGTAAGTCGTAACTCCTCATGATGAACTGTGACGGTGGGCAACGTTGGTTGCTGAGCTTGATCCTGACCTGGAGTTGGAACTGTCACTTCCTGCTGGATTGGATACTGAATTACAGCCTCCTTAGGTGACTCTGGAGGCTGAGTTGGGGTCTCTTGCATGGTTGGAGAAGGTTCAGTCTCTGTAGTGGATTCTGGAGTTATGGTAAGCACCAAGTCCAAAGGTTTAACTGTGACTTTAGTTAAGGTTGGATGCTGAACCTGAACCTGCTCTGAATGTGGAAATGTCCCCTCAGGGTCCTTTGGAGGAGCTGTAGTCTGCTGCAGAGCTGTAGAATGTTTAATGCCTGTAGTAAGCTCCAAGCCCCAAGGCTGAACTGTTACATTCAGTGACCACAGATGCTGAGCTTGATCCTGACCTAGTGTTGGAACTGCTGCCTTTTGATATACTGGAGGTTGAGCTACCAGTTCCTTAGGTGGCTCTGGAGGCTGATCTAGGGTCTCTTGCATGGCTGGAGAATGTTCAACCTCTGTAGTGGGTTCTGGAGTTATGGTAAGTTCCAAGTCCAAAGGTAGAACTGTTATATTGGGTGATGATGGATACTGAGCTTGATCCTGACCTGGTGTTGGAACAGTCTGCTCCTGATATCCTGGAGACCGAGCTCCAAAAACCACCTTAAGTGGCTCTGGGGGCTGAACTGGAGTCTCCTGCATATGCAGACGAAGTTCAATCTCCTTATTGAATTCTGGAGTTACTGTAAACACCAGGTCCAAATGTTGAGTTGTGGCCTTAGTCAAGGTTGGATGCTGAACCTGAACCTGCTCTAGATGTGCAAATGTCACCTCAAGGTCTTTTGGAGGAGCTGTAGTTTTCTGCAGGGCTGTAGAAGTTTTAACCTCCACAGTGGGTTCTGGAGATATGGTCAGCTCCAGGTTCAAAGGTTGATCTGTTACATTAGGTGACAATGGATGATGAGCATGATCCTGATCTGGAGTTGGAATGGTCACCTCCTTAAACAGTGAAGGCTGAACTACAACCTCCTTCAGTGACTCTGAAGGCTGACTTGGGGTCTCTTGCAAGGTTGAAGTTTCAACCTCTGTAGTGGGTTCTGGAGTTATGGTTAGTGCCAGGTCTACAGGTTGAACTGTGACTTCAGTCAAATTTGGATGCCGAGCCAGGATCTGCTCTGGGTGTGGAAGTGTCACCTCAGGGTCCTCTGGAGGAGCTATAGTCCGCTGCATGGGTAGAATGCTCAGCCTCCATAGTAGGCTCTGGAGTTACAGTAAGCTCCAGGTCAACAAGTTGGACAGTGACATTGGCTAAGTTTGTATGCTGAGCCTGTTCTTGTCCTAGAGGTGGAACTGTCACCTAATTGTGGACTGGAGGTTGTGCTACAACCTCCTTAGGTGGCTCTGGAGGCTGAGCTGGGGCTTCCTGCTGGGTTGGAGACATTTCTGCCTCCTTAGAGGGCTCTGGAGGTTGAGCTTGAGCCTGCTGCAGAATTGGAGATGGTTCTATCTTCTCAGGAGGCTCTGAAGGCTGAGTCTGTACCTCCTGTTGTGTTAGAGAAGGTTCTGTCTCCTTAAGTGACTCTAGAGGTAGAGATGGGGCTTCCTGCAAGGCTGGAGAGGATTCTACCATCTCAGGAGATTGTGGAAGCTGAGAAGGGGTCTCTTGAGAGACTGGAGGAGGTTCCACTTTGTCAGGGAGCTGTGAAGGCTGATCTGGGGTTTCCTGGTGGACCAGAGATGGTTCCACCTTCCCAGGAGGCTCTGAAGGCTGAGGTGAGGTCTCCTGTGGTGTGGAAGAAGGTTTCACCACTTTAGGGGGCTCAGGGGATATAGCTGGGGCCTGCTGGGGGACAGGAGACTGAACTGGGGTCTCCTGCTGGGTTGGAGAAGATTCTGCCTCATTAGGGGGCTCTGAAGGCTGAACTGGGCCTTCCTGCTGGACCAGAGATGGTTCTACCTTCTTAGGAGGCTCTGAAGGCTGAGCTGGGGCCTCCTGTGGTGTGGGAGAAGGTTCTACCTCCTTAGAGGTCTCAGGAGATATACTTGAGGTCAGCTGGGGGACTAGAGACTGAGCTGGGGCCTCCTGTTGACCTGAAGTAGGTTCCACATCCTTAGGGGGTCTGGAATCTGAGCCAGGACCTCTTGTTGGCTTGGAAAAGATTCATCCTCAGGGGACTCTGGAGACTGGGAAAGAAGCTTGGACTGGGTTAGAGAAAATTCAACCTGCTCAGGGGGAAGAGGAGACTGAGCAGGGACATCCTGCTGCACTGAAGAATGTTCAACCTCCTTAGTTGACTGGGGGGTTATGAAAACCTCCACATCCACAGGTTTAACTGTGATATTGGGCAACACTGGATGCTGAGCTTCCAATGGACCTGGAGGTGGAAATGTCACCTCATAATGTACTGGAGGCTGAGCTACAACATCTGGAGAGGACTCTGGAGGCTGAGCTGGGTGCTCATGCGGAACCGGAGAAAGCCCAACACCCTCATTGGGCTTTGGAGGCTGAACTGGGACCTCTTGCTGGATTGGGTAAGGTTCTACACCTGCAACAGGCACTTGAGGCAGAGCTGAGCTCTCCTGATCCTGGCTTGGAGAAAGATCAGTTTCTTCAGGAAGATCTTCAGGCGGAGTTGGGACTCCCTGCTGGACTGGAGAAGGTTCAATACTTCTAGGGGGGGTTGGATGCTGATCTAGGACCTCCTGCTGGATTTTAGAAAGTTCAATTTCCTCAGGAAGATCTTCAGGCTGAGTTGGGACTCGCTGCTGGACTGGAGAAGGTTCAATACTTCCAGGGGGTTTGGATGCTGATCTAGGACCTCCTGCTGGATTTTAGAAAGTTCAATTTCCTCAGGAAGATCTTCAGACTGAGTTGGGACTCACTGTTGGACTAGAGTAGGTTCCACATTTCCAGGGGGGCCTGGATGCTGACCTGAGACCTCTTGCCNCTGTTGGACTGGAGTAGGTTCAACATTTCCAGGGGGGCCTGGATGCTGATCTGAGACCTCTTGCTGGATGAAAGAAGGTCCAGTTTCCTCAGGAAGATCTTCAGTTGGAGTTGAGACTTCATGCTGGACTGGAGAAGATTCAACATTTTCAGGGGCAGCCGGATGCTGCTCTGGGACCTCCTCCTGGATTGGAGAAGGTTCCAACGGCTCAGGAGACACTCCAGGCTGAGCTGAGGCCTCTTCTTGGGGTGGAGAAGATTCAACTTCATTAGTGGATTCTGAAGTTATGGTAACTGCCAGATCCACAGGTTTAACAGTCATATTAGGAAACAGCAGGAGCTGAGCTGGATTCTGACCTTGAGGAAAAACTGTTATCACATGATCCCCTGGAGAGTAAGCTGGGGCCACTTGGGTTGGAGAAGTTTCAATCCCCTCAAGGGGTTCTGGATACTGAGTTGGGGCCTGTGGTTGGGGTGGAGAAGGCTCACCCTCCTCTGACACCTGAGGGGGCTGAGCTGGGGCCTCCTGCTGGGTTGAAGAAGGTTCAACCTCCTCAGGGCTCTGTGGCTCCTGAGCTGGGGACTCCTCCTGAGTTGTAGGTGGTTCACTCCCCTCGGAGGCCTGTGGGTGCTGAGCTGGGGCTTCTTGTTGGGTTGGAGAAAGTCCAACCTCTGCAGAGGTCTGTGGATGCTGACCCTGGCTCTCCTCCTGGGTTGAAGATTCACCCTCCTCAAGGGTCTGTGGAGATTGAGCTGGAGCTTCCTCCTCGGGTGGAGAAGGTTCTCCCTCCTCAAGGGTCTGTGGAAGCTGAGCTGGGACCTCCTCCTGGGGTGGAGATGGTTCATCCTCTTCCTGGGTCTCTAGAAGTTGAGCTGGGGCCTCCTTCTGGGTTGAGGATGGCTCACCCTCCTCAGGGGCCTGTGATTGCTGAGCCAGGGCCTCCTGCTGTGTTGGAGGTTTCTCCTGTGTGGTAGATTCTGGAGATTGTGTTGGAGTCTCCTGTTGAACTGGCAAAGATTCAACCTCCTCAGGGGACTGTGGAGGCAGAGTTGGGGCTTCATGCTGGGTTTCAAAAGGTTCCACATTAAGAGGCACTGAAGGCTGAGCTGGAACCTTGGGCTGAACTGGAGAACGTCCCACCTCTGTAGTGAGTGCTGCTGTTACGGTAAGCTGCACATTTGAAGGTTTCACACTGACATTGAGGTTTAAATGTTGAACATGGTAGTGACCTGGAGGTGAAACTGTCACCTCATGATGCTGTGGAGGTTGAGCTGGGTGCCTCTGCTGGGTTGGTGAAGGTTCCACCTCCCCTGAAGGCAGCTCTGGAAGCTGAGCTAGTTGCTCTTGCAGGGTTGCAGAAGATTCTATCTCCCCTGGAGACTGAGCTGTAGTCTCCTGCTGGGTTGAAGATTCTGTCTCACTAGGGAGCTCTGCATGCTGAGCTGAGGGCTCCTCCTGGGTTGGAGAAGGTTCAGCTTCTCCAAAAGGGCCTGGAACCTGAGCTGAGGGTTCCTGCTGGGTTGCAGATTTTACTACCTCAGGATGCTCCGTAGGCTGAGCTGGGGTCTGTTGCTGGGCTGGGGAATGTTCTGCCTCTTCAGGATTCTCTGGGGGCTGAGCTGGGGTCTCCTGCTCCAGTAGAGAAGGATCAATCACCCCAGGAGGCTCGGAAAGCTGACCTGGAGTCTCCTTCTGGGTTAGAGAAGGATCAATCACCCCAGGAGGCTCGGAAGGCTGACCTGGGGTTTCCTGCTGGGTTAGAGAAAGTTCAATCACCCCAGGAGGATCAGCAGGCTGAGCTGGGGTCTCCTGCTCACTGGAAGGCTCAACTTCCTTTGGAGACTTACCCGAGGTCTCTTGCTGGGTTAGAGAAGGTTCTGCTTCCTCATTATGCCCAAGAACCTGAGGTGGGGCCTCTTGCTGGGCTATAGTAGATTCGACACCTTTTTCAGGCCCTGGAGTTGTGGTAAGTTCCACATCAAAAGGCTTACGTGTAAACCAGGGAAACATTAAATAATCTGGGTACTGATGTAGAGGGTGAGGTATCACCTCATCACTTACTGAAATGTGACTTAAATATGTGGTAGGGAACTCTGGAACTAGAGTTGGGGCCTCCTGCTGTACTGGGGTTGGTCCAGCCTCCTCAGGGTGCTCTGCAGGCTGAGCCTCGGCTTCCTGCTGG